ACGAGCCAAAGCTTTGGGATACATAACATCAAATCTTAAGGGACCAGAGAAAATGCAATGGGTAAGTTTGATTGAATTTAGGACCTTTTTTTTTTCCTTTTAAAACAGTTTTATTGGGACGTAATCCACACATCATAAAATTCAATTATTCAGTCATAGTATGTATATGTATGTGTGTGTGTAAAATTAAGACAAGAAGCTAAAGGTTACAGGAATGGTAAGTCCAGTGAGATCAAAAGACATGTACTGGTTCTTACTACAGTTCCTTATAAGTAATAAGTAATGGTAAAGTTTGGATTTTTTTTTTTCCAGAATGGTAAAAGTTAGTAGAGGTATTTGAGTGAAGAAGTGATATGATTACATATCATGTTTAGAAAATTCCCTCTGGGATCTCTGGAAAGAAGAGCCTCTAGGAGGCGAGAGGGAAAAGAAGATTGTTGCCTTCATCTGTGGGAAGATGGCAATAGTGTGGATTAAGATAGTAATGAAAGAAGGAACGAGAATTGGTCATATTCAGAACATATTTTATGAACTCTTTTATAAGACTTGCTCATCAATTGAATGTTAGATAAAAAGGGAAATGAGACAACAACTAATGGCTTAAGCATCTAGGAAGATGGTCATACCCTTTATTGAGACAGGGAAGCATGGAAAAGGAACAAATGTAAAGAAGAACATCAATAATTCTCTTTAGATAAAATTGGCCAATCTGACTTTGGAGCCCCATCAGACTCAACCGGAAAACACTCCTACAGGCCAACAAACAGTCCTTAAACTAACTACAAGCTTTTCTTTTTTTGTTATTCTTGTGTTGTGTTTTTTGTTTTGTTTGGTCCTTGACTTGTTGTTGTTGGATTTGTTTTCTTTTGTTGCTTGGTTTTGCTCTGTCTTGTTTTTGTGCATGTTATTATCTCTGCAGGTCTCTCTGAATAAGATAGGCTAGATGAACAATCTGGAGGAGAAAACAACAGGACCAACAGTTCCTGGGGGACATGGCAGAGGGGGAGGTAGGGGGAAAGGGAGTGGGGTTAACAAACCCAGGGACAAGGAAGCAACAAGTGATCCAAATCGGTGGTGAGAAGGGTGTAGGAGGCCTGATAGGGGGTGATCAAGGGTAATGTAACCAAGAGGAATTACTTAAACCCAGATGAAGGCTGAACATGATAGTGGGACAAGAGGAAAGTAAAAGGAAATAGAGGAAAGAGTTAGGAGGCTAAGGGCATTTATAGAGGTCTAAATATAGGCACGTACATATGTATATATATGAGGATGGGGAAATAGATTTATGTGCACATATTTATAGGTTAGTATTAAGTTAGCAAATGGACATTGGGCCTCCACTCAAGTACTCCCTTAATGCAAGAATACTTGGTTCTATTAAACTGCCATTCCATGATGCTCACCTTCCCAATACAATCCCTGAAGACAACTTGGGTGTATAAGCAAATGTGGTGAAGAAAGCAAATGGTGCCTGGCTATAAAAAGATAGAGCATCTGGGGTCTTAAAGGCTTGAAGGTAAACAAGCGGCCATCTAAGCACACCAGCCTGTGTGATCATGAGGTGTCAAAGGGATGAGGTATCAGGCATCAAAGAACAAAAACTCATATCATTGTGTGCTCACCTCCCTGGTAATGATTGCTGAAGACAAATGGGTACATAAGCAAATGTGGTGAAGAAAGCTGATGGTGCCCGGCTATCAAAAGATATAGCATCTGGGGTCTTAAAGGCTTGAAGGTAAACAAGTGGCCATCTAGCTCAGAAGCAACAAAGTCCACATGGAAGAAGCACACCAGCCTGTGTGATCACATGGTGTCGAAGGGATGAGGTATCAGGCATCAAAGAACAAAAAATCATATCATTGTGAATGAGGGGGAGTACGGAGTAGGTGCCCAAAGCCCATCTGTAGGCAACTGGACATTTCCTTACAGAAGAGTCTTGGGGAGGAGATGAGCCAGTCAGGGTGCAGTGTAGCAATGATGAAACATACAACTTTCCTCTAGTTCCTAAATGCTTCCCACTCCCCACCCCACCCCCGCTGTCAAGATCCCAATTCTACCTTACAAATCTGGCTAGACCAGGGGATCTGCACTGGTACAGATAGGAACTGGAAACACAGAGAATCCAGGACAGATGATCCCTTCAGGACCAGTAGTGGGAGGGTGGAGGAAGGGTGGGGTAGAAAGGGGAAACCGATTACAGGGATCTACATATAACCTGGGGACGGACAACCGAAAAGTGGGTAAAGGCAGACCTCGGACAGTATATGATATGACAAAATAATAATTTATAAATTATCAAGGGTTCATGAGGAAGGGGGGAGTGGAGAGGGAGGAGGAAAAATGAGCTGATGCCAAGGGCTTACATAGAGAGCAAATATTTTGAGAATGATGAGGGTAACAAATGTACTAATGCGCTTTACACAATTGATATATGTATGGATTGTGATAAGAGTTGTATGAGCCCCCAATAAAATAATTTTAAAAACAAATAAATAATAATAATAAAATAAAAGTGGCCTATCTATTAGACATCCAAATAGAGATAGCAGTTTTGGATTATATATATATAATTCAAATCCGTTTGACTCATTGCAAACCCACATGACAGAGTTTTTCATGGCCTCGAACATGGAGGCACAGGGTGAGTTTGAAATATCAACCTTTCAAATAGCAACCGAAACAAGCAATTGGATATATAAGTCTAAATGTCAAGGAAGGAGCTATGTAAGTGGAAGTCATTGACCAGAGGAATATATTTCAAGCTTAAACTAGATAAGGACACAATAGAAATGAGAAGAGAATGTGACCAAAGACCTGTGTGTAAGACAGATAGCGTACAGAGGTATATTGCATTCAGTGGATATTTGGCATAGATGTGGTATTCTTCCTACTTGTGGTACAGTAGAGATATAGGAAAGTCCCAAATATTTGTTGAAAGTAGAATTAGAATATGGAATGTCATATTTATAAGTTGGTCAGAACAAGAAAAAAACCATACTATAGCATCAAAAGAATCTGTGGAGTTTTTCACAAAATGTTTAGTCTTTTCCTTATATTCCAGAAGGCTGGAAGTATAAATTGGACTGTCTCAAGCATAGTTTCACATATTGAATATAATAATCTTTAAACACAGGATGAAACGTATACTAACAGAAGTGATCTTATTTTCTTCATCTCGGTTATCTACCAATCACGCATCATTTATGCAAGTCCTATATTTTACTCAATATGAAGTTTTAGTTTTAAAACTAAATACCATTGATATATTTTAATGGTATACATTTTAATTTGTGGGATTATTTTAACAGTGAGTTATGTACTGATTTGTAGGAACTAAAGGAGACATCCCAGAATTTGGCACAGTAGAATACTGGTTCCGATTAAGAGTTCCCATGGACCAAGCAATTCGACTTTATCGAGAACGAGCCAAAGCTTTGGGATACATAACATCAAATCTTAAGGGACCAGAGAAAATGCAATGGGTAAGTTTGATTGAATTTAGGACCTTTTTTTTTTTCCTTTTAAAACAGTTTTATTGGGACGTAATCCACACATCATAAAATTCAATTATTCAGTCATATCAAGAAGAGTTGTATAATCATTTCCACAATCAATTTGAAAACATTTTCTTCTTTTCTTGTACTCTTTATTCTTAACTCCCCATCTCTCCACCCCCAAACTCTCCTGCCATAGCCCCAAGAAACATTTATCCAGTTACTGTCTCTTTAGAGTCACCATCCTGGATTTCTGAAAACATATAACAAACAAACAAACAAAAAACACCCTAATAACAATAACAAAATAGAGAAAAATCTCAAAAAGAAAGCGGAAAATAGTAAAAACTAGGACAACTTTAAAATGGGTCAAAAGAGAGATCAAATGATAAGGTGTTAAATCTTAACCAACTACATCTCTCCTAATCCACTGTCCAGTGCACTTTGCATGATAGCAAGGCTCTTCACATCCCTGTGTTCAGAGAGGGTTCACTGGAGACCGAATCCGCTTACAGTTTCTGAATTTAAGACATTTAATGACAGATACTTTATATTTCATGCTTTAAATTGAACTCATTTTCTTCAATAGCTACCATATGGATTTTTTTACTTACTTTTTTAACTTTTTCTTTTGAAATAAGTATAGATTCACAAAATCTCCCAAAAACGGTACTGAGAAGTTCCCTGGTTCCTTTCTTTCATTTGTCATTACTTACATAACGATAGTTCGGTATCAAAACCAGAAAATTGACATTGTACAATACTTATAACTAGACTGCATATCTTATTCAGTTTTTACCATTTTTACATACATTCTGTGTTTTTGTACTGTTATATGAAACGTATAAATTTTTGTAACCACCATCACAATCAAATACAAAACAGTTCCATTACCACTAAAGCATATGTTTGTGCTACCTCAGACACTTAAAAATGAATTGGTAAGAGATAAAAAAAAAAGAATTTCAATACACATATCAAATGACTTTTATAACAATATTTGCTACTAACAGAGATCTTGTCTGCAGCCATTTACTAATCTTAGAAATATGCTTTTTGGAATGAAGTTGTGCATATATGAACTGTAACCCTAGTAACAATACTTTTTTTTTTAATTCACAAATTTAAAGAATAACCGCATCGTTTTCCCTTCCAGTATTAGAACTCTTCAGAAGACACTTTGGGAAATGAGGATTTAAAATAAGGAGACCAGGTTATTTAGTTTTGTCATTTAAAACTTTTCAGACTCCCAGAGTAATCTGTTGGTGGAATCTCATCTTTTATAGTTAACTTTAAGGGGAAAGGAGAAGGGCTACTTTATAAATCATCCCACTCAACTTTCTATGCCAAACTAAACTCACTGCCATTGAGTCAATGCCCATTAACTAATTGTGACCCTAAAGAGCAGGGCAGAATCGCCCGTGTGAGTTTCTGACTGTAACTGTTTACAGGAGTAGAAAGCCTGTCTTGCTCCCCAACTGTATAGCTGAGTGTAGTGCTGCCTTAGAAGAGACATATTTCATTCCCGTCTACTGCTTGCCCTTCTCCACACCACCAGAAGTCTCCACTAAGGAAAGTGTCTCTATTTCCTTCTCCAATAAGCTTGACTAGAGTCAAATGTCACAGAGGTTCAGTCTAACTCACACGTGCAGTGAAGGAGGGGCTGAAGTAAGAAAATTCCCCCACACTAAAAAGACACATATGTTTTCTTTAGTATGGATTATGTCAGCTATTGTAGGTCTAACAGTTAGTGCAATTGTTTTCTAAAATACTGGTGTGTTGGCCACCTGAATGAAAAATAGTTGCAAAAGGGCATCATGGCTTATCTCTGACTGTCCTCTTGTTCTTGTAGCATTTGAACTGTGATACACAGTAAAGTCCAGGATGATGAGCATCTGACTTTAGGACAACTTATTCTTGCCCTTGCCCTCACTTTGAAATGAATGAACATCATAATCACCTTCACTTGCTACACATGCAACTTTTAAAACACTGAAAAGGTGTCAGACCTTTTCTAGCACTGATATAAGACTAAGTAAGGATTGTAACTTAGCTACAAATTCACCTTACAGACACACTTAGGAACTGACCTCCTTTGTAACTCCAGGTCTGCTTATACCACCTAACATTGGCCTTGGGTATCTGTTTCCCAGCAGTTAAGGATGAGGGGCAACTCAAATATAGCAAAACTATTTCTCTAAGTGGGCCCCATACTATTATTTGGAGACTTGCTTAAAAATGGGATATCATCAGTGTCTTAATAAAACTGTTAACTGTAAGATTTTTATCTCTGGCTCTATCTGTTCAATTTTCTGTTTAGCTTAAATATCATTTTTAAAAATTAGAGTTCTTTTGGCTTAATTGTTTGTTTTATTTTGTAGTACCAATCTCCAATGTATGCTCCTATGCTCAGTATTACATGTTTGTGCTAACAGCACAAGATTGTCTGGTCACACAGGTTCTGGAGAGCATTGGGTTTGAATAAAAATCAAGAGTCTTAGTTACTGAAAATTTCCTTATGTTATGAAAATATAGAGCTTTTATACACTTACAGAATTATTTCATTTGTGAGTTTAAAACTGCTGTTTATATTTTTATTGTATTATTGTAATAATTTAAATATATGTTTTCCAGTTAAGTCAGCAAGCACCCAAAGCTGCTCAACTCAGTCCTACAGAGTCTAAAGATGGCAACTTAAATGAACTTCATGTTACAATAAGATGTTGCAACCACCTGCAGTCCCGAGCAAGCCACCTGCAGCCACACCCATATGTAGTGTACAAGTTCTTTGATTTTGCAGACCATGATACAGCCATCATTCCCAGTAGCTGTGATCCACAATTTGATGATCATATGTGCTTCCCAGTGCCAATGAATATGGATTTGGACCGATACCTTAAGTCAGAGTCTCTGAATTTTTATGTGTTTGATGATAGTGATACCCAGGAGAATATTTACATAGGAAAAGTCAATGTGCCTCTTATATCCCTGGCACACGACAGGTGTATTTCAGGTAAGCCTATATTCTTGATTCTATGACCTTGAAAATCAAACCTTCAACTATATTCAGTGTTGTGAAATGGTTTGTTCATATCTAATGTTTCTAACCTTCTGCAACAATCGTTTTTAACTTTGGGCTACCCTTCTTAAGTTTTAATTGTTCTAGGGATTATAATATTCTCCTTAATTTATCACAACATTCTTAAAATTAATACTAACTTAATTCTATGAAAATATCGATATTCTGCTCCAATACAAGTAAGTCTATTCCATGTCAGTAATGGTACTTTTCAGCTCCAGAATTGCTATTTCATTCTTTTTTTATAATGTGTTTTTCTTTATTTTATCCTATATTTGAATTTTCAACATTTTTTTTTAATTCTTTAAGCCTGGTTTATTTTAGTTCTTTAGGCATACTTAAAATGGCAGCGTCTGCGTATTTGTGTGAGTCTAAACTGAGAGTTGTTTGTTTTTTTAATTATTTTATTGGGGGCTCATACAATTCTCATCACAATCCATACATACATCCATTGTGTCAAGCACATATGCACATTTGTTGCCCTCATCATTCTCAAAACATTTGCCT